CAACTTGATGACATGATTGTAACGTCAACATGACCAACTATTTATCTAACAACAACTTGATGACATGATTGTAACGTCAACATGACCAACTATTTACCTAACAAAGTTTCTTAATTTCTATCTTTTAAAATTTTATATTCGCACCTTCTGCGTGCTGAATGTTTTATGGTTTATGGTCATTCGCTTTATAACATTTATTTGTTTATAGTCGAATTTGCTTTAACATTTTTTAATGTGACGGTCAGTCCCACTATTCGTTGCTAAAAAAATAGTCCAAGAGTTGTCGGTTGGTGGTATTGACTAGCTGCTTTCCCTCTAGTCTATCACAGCTAAATTAGAGATAGTAGCGAAGATAGCTCTCGTGTAGCTTTGCGCTTAACAAAAAATAATAATAAATGAATGTCGTCCGTGGTATAATAGCTGTACGTCTGTCTTTTCGCGTATTTTTAAGATTTAAATGCTACAATTCTCCGGAATACAAAAATATACATGTTGTACGGAAGTTATATTAACAAAACTATCCCCTGTCGGGACAGCGGTAAGTCTTCGGATTTACACTGCTAAAATCAGGGGTTTGATTTCTCTCGGTAGACACAGTAGATAGCCTGCTGTGGCTTTGATATAAGAAAAACACATTAACAAAACTGTTTACTGTGTTTCAGTGACAATAGCTTTGAACATCTCCTGCAATAGTTACCAACATTTCAGTGGATTAGCGGCTGCACATTGCAACATATGTGGAATATAGCGCATCGCACAGGCCCGCAAAAGTTTTAACACATTCAAAAATAAATAATAATAAATTTAATAGCACAGTTTTCATACGCTTTGAATAGGCCTTGACACACATTTTTATGATTTATATGCATAGTAAGTCGCGTCTTTTTAAATGAAACTACTGGGATAATATATGAAAATTACTCTTTTCCTAAGCCTTGGCCCACTTTTACCAATATAAGATGAAGACAACGAACCTGATTTATTTTTTAATAAAAGGTTGACAAAACACTACTGGTTTGGTTTAACTAAATGATATTTTTAGGGGTTCGGAGTTTAGCACGAGTTTACATGGTTACAAAAAATCTCCTGTAATAATTTTAAAAATAAATAATAATGAGAGATATAACAATAATAGAAACTACAATAAATGGCATATTTTCGTCATAACAATTTAAGTTTTTGTAAGAATCATACCGTAGCCAGTACAGCTCATCTTTCATAATAAGTAAGTCAATATTGTGTTAGTTTTGACTTTATCGCAAACAGAAACTTTATTTTTAGTGTTTGTTTGTTTCTAGTTAAACATAATTCTATACAATAGGTTATCTGTGCTGTACCCACCATAGATATTGAAATTTAGTTTTTAGCGTGTAAGTCCACAGATTTACCACTGAGCCATTAGGAGCTTAGTTTTAGTGAAGAAAAAATACAATTGTTCATTTTTTGGTGTTATTAGTACTATAAGCACTATAAGATAAAACAAAAAGTTTGGTAGTAATAAAGTTTGGAGACAGGTGGCGGAGCTGTAACACCCTAAAGCGTATAATGATTAATAAAACAGCTGTAAATATGGGCACCTATGATTAGGGAATGCAGTCTAATATATAGTTTATATTAAGGGATTTGCATTCTAAAGCTAATATCTTGACTTTTATTGAAAGTTTTTGGTGTGGAATCAATTTTTATTTGATAAAGCACACGCAAACGCGTGTTTTCAGTTATGGCTTTTATTAGCTGAATTCACATCCATACTATGCTTATCGTATGCTTCCTTCTTAAACAAAAAACTCGTTATAGCAACTGACGTATTTTCCCCACTCTTCAAATATGTGTACTCGCTCCATTTGTTTGGGAACTATGTTCTCTTGTCATGAATCTTTGTGTTATGTGGTGAAATGTAAAACCTAGGCCAGCCATTCCAAGTGCATAATGAACACGAATCGAGACTGTTTGCCATCCGCGTCACTGGCCATCATCACATTCAAGTGAAATGAGCTAGAATAAAGAAACCGCCCTGGGCTATAATGATTCGGTCCCGTTTGCCCCGCTACAAATCTCGGGATTTTTGACAGTATTATATTACAAGCGTGACAGAAGCCTAAACATCGCGCGATTATTTTCTTCCCCGATAATTTCAGTGACAATAGTTAGAGATTTCTACAAAATATATGACTTGAAGTATTTTTGAGGAACAACCTTTTGCATTTTTGCCAGCATGAATTATGATTGTATTAATAAAAGCAAGACAACAGTCTAATGGTCCGTCTTTAATGGAAAGTGGCATTTATGTATAAGGTAAAACAAAAAACACTCTACGTAATTGATTACAATATTTTATATGTATAATAATAATTTCCGACCAGAGCACGCTATGTACTTAGAGCGAAACCAAAAATCAACTTGGCCATCAATAGAGCTAACTAAATATACTTGTATTATGTTTTAGACCCCTTATAGTTCAGCAGCAAGACTGAAGACTTATAACGCTAAAAACCGTGTTTCGATACCTGTAGTGGTCACAGGTATATATCGCAATGAGCTCTGATATATGGACTGTTTGTATTCTTATAATTTTCATCATGATGATGATTGCAATATACTTAGCTATTTGTAGGCAGTCTAAATTTTCAAATTAGATAACGTATTTTGTTTCTGATATTTTCTTATTTATTAAAGATGGCTAGCACTATCGACTAGGTTCCTGCTGATGCTTAATATTCAACCCTGCTTTACACACTAGAGAAAGGAATTTATCCATCTAGCCATTCCCAACCAGTTTAAATAGCTCCTTAGCCACGTAAGCCAAGAAGGGACAACAGCTTGAAGTGGTATGTTGATAATAACCTGTACACGTTGAAGGTTCCTCGAGCTCTTGCTGTTTGATACATAGAGTACTTTGATAAATTAAACATATATTATTAAACTCGTTTATTAATTCAAACCACTGTGCTTCAGTGAAGCGGCTCGTCGTTAATTAATCAAAACGTGTACCTCTATGCTGGAAATATTCCACACTGACAAACATATACACACGTTGTGCGTTTTAGACTCCTGCGTTATCGATTCCAAACTATAGAGCAAAGGTCTAAAAAAAATGTCATTTCTAAAATCTTAATTTTTTCGCCATTTTACAATCTTTCCTCAGTTTTTAAGAACTTAATAATGTTTAAGCAGGTATTGTTTGAGATTTCCTGTTTTTGTTCGTACTAATTTTCAATAAACAGAAGCGTTTCTATTTCTAGGTTTGCCGGTATATAATTACCTGGTAGTTTTATAATATCAGTATAACGTTACCGTGTTTATCACGTGCACCCTCTGCTGATTACTTTATTCTATTGGAAACTGTATTAATTCGTTTTTGTCGCGTTAACATACAAGTTCCAATTGAAAGACAGTAAATGTGTCTTAATTTTAGGATGTGGCAGCGTTATTATTAACATTTTTATATACACACACACACACGATTGCATCTGCAACTGCAGAGATCACCTTGGAATAGATTTCCCTTTTTTTTTTGCATGATATTATGTGCTAAACTGAGGTGCAGTAATGTAACTCTTTCCTTCAGAGAGGTGGTACGGTTATTCAATCAGTGACAACTTGAAACGATTGATTACAACACACCAAACTTTAATACTGGAAATGAGTCTATTTAGTACTACAAAATAACACAAACCTTAGTCTCCTCTATTTGAAATTGCTATTTAAAATATCTCGCAGGATGCATTGGAGGGTAATTCATTAACCAACCAGAATGCACCCCATCCTAACACATTGTCAAAAAGCCTTGCGAGGAAGGGTTGACCATTTTTTTTTCAGAAAAATTTCGATATCTACAAAAAATCTCTTAACCAAGAATAAAAGTGTAAAAATAAAAAATAGTATGATTTGTTAAATAGTAGCATAAAATACCCTCTCGGGCTCCGCTGCAAGGTAAAGGGGGCCCGCTAATGGTTAATAGAGGCTTCGAAGTACCGATCTAGCTATTGCATTATCTACAGTTACATCTAAAAATACCACAAGGGGGCGGGGGCATCTCCGAAAACAATCCCCGTTAGGACCTCTGCCGTGGTGCCACGTTTGTTTCCACATGCTTGTGTGTGGGAGTTTGAAAAGTGGTAACCCCAAGGTGGGGAGGGGGCGAGAAACAGAAACTGTGATGCCAGACTCTGCGTGATGGGGGGGGGGGTATGAACATAGTTCAAACATGGCACCTCCGAGATCCTGAGGTGAGCCACAACACAAAATCCAATACAATGTTACGGTTCAAATACTCTGGGAATCTACTCTTAGACCCCTATCACCTTTATGTGACCTTCCGAGCGCTTTCAGCCCCACTGGTAAGGGAGCTACGCCATATAGGTAAGGACAACCTTTACACCTCACCACCCGGGCCACCTCGAGTACACTTACCAATACCAAGTTTGAGTTTGTTAGCTTCAAAACTATGGGAAAAGTTCTCGGACAAACAAACTGACAACACAGCTTAAATTGATATAATATTAATAATCTTGTATTCCTTTTATTAGGTCTAAACTTTTAACTCTGTTCAGTGCTTAGTTTTATGGTTGACTTTTTAACCATACCATAACCTGTAATAACTCAGCATAAATACTATATCAACCTTATTGTCATATTTCATGTCTATAATGATAACTATGTCACCATGCTAACAATAAATACAATTAATTTTTTATGTACTTTTTAGGCCTGAACTCGGAGCTGTACTATGTGCGAGACGGAATGGTGAACACATACGCCTTAGGATTCGAAGTTGTTGTTCCAAACGAAATACCTGACCTTCATTTCACTTGGCAAAGCTTGAGTAGGCACAAAGTAAGTAATCTTATGATGCGTTCCGTTATTTACTCTACTGTCTCTAGATAATTTAGAAATTGGCAGTAGAATTGAATCGACATTTATGAAGGAATGGTTAATAGACTGATTTATGAAGTTCATTCAGTTTAAAAACCTTATTAGTATGCTGCCTTAGCTAGCTCATAGAAGGATAATTAGCAATAATATATAAATTTTATAAATCAGGATACTAAATATAATTTATTTTATTCCCAAACATTAAATATTCTATTCATGATAACGTTTACCGCAATGTAAAAAATTTTGGGTGCCTAAAAAAAAAAAAGTTTAAGCTTTTCAAAACCCACTTCATGCTCTACGGGAATACATAATACAGGCGTGGCAGTGGTTTGATTCTCTGTTTGTATGAAACCACATGTTTTGAGTGGCAGCCGATGACCTCAAAAGCTCGTTTCTGGCTTATTGCACTAGATGTCGCAGGACGGGCGTTGGGCTTTGCTTGACGTCTGTAGACCAGCTCTCTCCGGGAGTCCCCTTTATTTTATTTTTTTAACTGGTCAGACAGATATGTTCAGCGACACGCTGGCGCCCTGTTTATTAGCTGTCCGAGCAAAAACACATATTATATCGAGGACCGATAGCTAAGATTGTACCTGTCATATCTGGAATTTCTCTGTATTTTAATTATGGATAACAGAGTCATATGGTGCATTTTAAATCAAGCAATCGTATTTGCAGTTTATAGTTGCGTTAATAGCTGTATATTTAGGCCTAGGAAAAAATGCTTTGTTTCAGGTTGCCCTACCGACTCTACATAACAATGCCCGACTATAAAGTTTTTCCAATGCTTCCCCCCAAATAAAATATTTCTCACTACCGACCCAAATGAAAAACTTCCTTAGATTATTATTTTTTATTTTCATTAAATTATTGCACCAATCTGCAACCGTATTGTGGAAGGTGAAGGTCATAAGAAAGCACGTTTCTGATTCGTTAGTTGGTGTGGTGTGTAAACACTCTCTGCCAATTATCTCTCTCAACACTGGTTCGGTTAAATTGACCGATCACGTGACCGCTTTGTACTTGTTATAGTTTTGATCCTACTAACTTTTAATATAGTATGTGTATCTTCACAAAATCTGGCAGTCTTACAAGTCTTTTGTATATACCAAAAATCAGATATTTTAGTGAAGTATTATTAATAAAGATCTATTCATGAATATATTGGGTCTTTTTTTTTACTGCTCCAAGTGCAAAATGATTTTTATGTTAACATTAAAAATACTTTTCTTCATCTCAAAAATCTCAAATGTCATTTGCGTGATCTCTAAAACCTTCTAAATACATGTATTTTATCGTTATTTTCTCCACCCTATTTTTATACAAGGTTGGTCAATTTGACCTACCTCGTAACCACAAAAAAATAATCGAAATATATCTAAATTACCCGTTTTTCTTTCTAGAATGACTTCAAATTGTAACATGTAACTTTATTTGTTTATCCTAAGCAGCTTTAAGCTCGTAACAGTATACATCTATTTATACTCACATTTTATTGTTTTATTGCCCTTTGAACGTGTCTAACTACTATTCGCATCATTATAAGTCGTAAATCACTTAGAGAACGTGTGGCTCGCGTTACGCTATTGAATTACGTTACCCACAAGCTACTCTGAGCTGCTCGCGTTCGTGCGTGCTTCTGCTTCGTCAGAATTTTTTTACTATATTATTATTATATATTTTACCTAATCTAACTGTAACTAACCTAAAGAGTTTCAATTTTTACATTTTAGTTCTGTAGTTACCATATGTCTAAATAATACTTTTCTGACAGTGCTTAGTATTTAGTACAATCTGATATATTACAATTGCATTTATTTGTATCATAAGATATGTATCTGAATTAAAAAATACCCCGCCTACCTACCCTATTTTTTCAGCATGTAATTGAATCCAAAGCATTTTTTTCTAGGCCTTATTATGGTCTAATGATTAACTGAAATACAACTTTACCCTTATTGACATGTCACAATCTTGTATATCCATTTAGGAAACGTGTTAGCAATATAGAAGAAAAAAAGTCAAGATTCAACAGTTACTTATGATTACGGAAAATGTGTAACAAAGTACATTTATGTTCGCTGTAACACAATTATTGCTTTAAGGCTAAGCTGAAGAAATAAATTTGGAGATTTGGTGTGGTGAAAAAGGGGTGACCCCCAGTAGTTTGGAAAGAAAGTTACTTGTTTTTGAAAGTAATAAACACTCTCTTCATATATAACCAACTTGTTCGCAAGAATAGATAAATAGACGTTTTGACTTTTTTTTTTATCAAACTGAAAGTTGATTGTTCTTATTTAAATCTGGTAAAATTTCATTTGTTTGTAATTTATACCAGCGTTCCCAAACTTTTATCTTCCCTCTTTTTTTTTTTTTTTAATGAGTGAAAGAGTGAGTTAAGGGATGAAATGTAATACATAGACACACTTTAAAATGCTATACGTATTGTAGTAATTACTTATTATTTCATTAGTGAAAAATATATAAAAACACTTAATTTTGCATTATTGGCCCTACCGTAATCGCTCGCCTCCACCACAAGAGGTTCGGGCCAGAAAAATGCATTGACTGAAATCGTCTAGCCTCACAAGGAGCCAAGCCTGGCGCTCCCCCTGTCGTGTTTGTAGCACCTCAAGGGGGGGGGGGGCGCCCCGAGGTTGGGAACCACTATATCAAGTATTTTTATTTTTCATGAGAAATATAATTTAGGCTGTCTTCTACTATTCAAACTTATTTGAGAAAAACAAACAAACGTAAATTAGGGAGGGCTATATTTGAATATCATATATTTCGAACTTTCTGTTAAACCCATGTATCTCATAAGGTGGCGTTCCGATTGAAAACACCAAATATCAAACTTGTATGGGAATATAAAAAAAACGTCACGATATAATGATGTATGTCTACTTTAGATTATTGATCAAACAAAAACATTTTACTCAAGGTTTTACAACACTGGTTTGAATATCATGATATTCAATTTGCCAAAAATTGGGTTTAAATTTAGTATACACTCAAATATGCTTTAAATGTTATTAGGTAGGGATAATTAGTGAAACATGAACGAAACTTGGAACTGTTGTGATGATTAATTTCAACATCTGCTAGGTTTGAATAAAAGTCCAGAAACCAGGGTTTTTGAGTGGATTTTTTTTTTTGTACCTTATAACAACATTTCGACTACTCGTGTTGTCTAATAAATTTATCAGCAAGTAAAACGCTAGCAAAGACTCGGAATCAACGTAGCTTTGAGTCGTAACTTATTAGGTTTATCTACCAAACCACAGGCAATGGCTTGTAAATATTATTGTCATCAGGATCACTATCTAGTAGGTAGGCTTTGTAATAGTAAAACACTATTAATGTTAACTTTTGATCAAAGCAAGCTACTTAAAGAGATCATAACTAAGTCAACCTGTAATGAGTATAGCTAGTTAAATATACTGTCCTGACGTTCTTACTTATAAAGATTAGAATGAATTGTTTCATCCGTTGGGTACAGTTCCCGTTAGCGATATTTTGAACCATATTCCCAATAATAGCTCGAGGTCTGGCCAGCTTACGTTAGCCCTGAATCCATATGCTAAGCTAAAAGTGAAAAATAATTTTAATCTTTATATTAAAAATATAATAATAAAATAGTAACTATAATAAAAGTAGATATATTAATCATTCTAACTAATACTTAAGGAAAATGACGTTAAGGAAAAAATAGAGTATACCTTATTTACGGAACACGTGTTAGAGATGGTTCGAAGTTACTGTGATCTAAAGTGTCTCTGGTTAGTAGATTATCTAGTGAAAAAGCCAGCGTTGGTTCAAAGATATGTTTTCACTGCTACCAATATTAGATTTATCCAATAAAACACTAGCAATGGTTCGAAGCTTGTAGTTTCCAGTGTCAGGGGTGTGAATAAAATAGATTGTAAAGTTATTGGCAGTTTTTTATGGAATTTGATAGAATGCTAGTCTTACCTCTGAACAAAGCGATAAACTTCTAGGTGGCCTAACATAGTTTATTTTTATTTCTGCTAAAATGATTTTCATTGTTATTCATTGTAATGATAACAGAAATATACGTTAACGTTAGGTTAGAACATGTTACTTAATTCACTTATGAGAGAAGTGTAATTCCTAACAACCTCTTATCATAACTTTGTACAGATGGTTTACATCCACAAAACATTTTCTGAAACAAGAAAGCATTTTTCTTTTACCGATGTAATATTGTTATTATAATCTTGTTCTAAAGATAATTCAGATCTAGAAGTATGTTAGTAACTCAGTTAGAAGCATGGAGCAATTCTGCAGTGACTGTATAAACAAGACTGAAGTTTTGGCCAAATTTGGGGTATTGCCAAAGCTTTCCCAAATACTGGATGTCACTATTCCTGTGTTTCTGAACAGATCTAAACACTCTTATATCACGTTAAAAACAACAGCTTCATACCTAATTCATATTAAGAAAGAAAAACAAGCAGTCAAAAAATGATAAAATTGTTGTTTTTCTTGTTGAAGAGGCAAAACATATAGTAAGCAAAGGAGGAACTGCCAGAAACAACATGTCACTATTAGATTTGAATCTGAAATGGAGAATTATGCTAGTTTGCCAACTCTATCACATATATTAAGTTTATAGGAATATTTGTTGTACTTTTAATAGTGAGTTGCTCTTCACAGCCAATAGGTTAAAAACTGACAACTCTTGGCCTAGAAGCAGGTTGAAAATCTGAAAAGAGGGATGGCGTAATAGCCTATACTGACAGATTTCCATGACATCTGGGGCTCAAATCCCGCTTCAAATGGAATCTTGTTTCTATTTATGGTAAAGCTACTCAGCTATTCACTCAGTAGCACCCTACCACTCATCATTCACGCTAAGGGATTAACTGCCACTCTTATAACACATACACAGCTTAAAGTGCGGAGTATATTTTTGTGGTATCGTACGAATTCGA